ATCGTGTGAGAAACGTTAAAGTTAAAACCAAAGAATATAATAGACCTGTTACTAAAATTTGTGTAATTTTGCCTGCAACTGAAGAATCTGATTTGGATGAGGACTAACGCCTCATCGGCGGGGAAATGTTCTGCAAGAGACTATTGAATTGACTGTCCATGTTCCAAAATGTTTCCTTATATTTTCATAAGTTTAATCTGATCCGTACTTTTTGTAATAACCATGCTTCCGGTCATGGCCTCCAGTGTTGTCATGAATTCAAATAGTAAAAAGTAAAAAGTATATAACTAAAAGTAAAATAGAATGATTGTAGTGAATTAGATGCTCTGTAATTTAAACTAAGAAAAGAACCAACTGTATTATCAATCCGTTTTATTAACTCTATAGAATTGGCCAGTTACCAGGGGCTTAGACCGGACGGCTTCATGCACTCTCACGATCCACCACCCACACCCTAACTTCATCTAGGCAAATGAGACAAATGCGTCATGCCCAATTTGACGAAAAAAATATGTATAAAAAAAAATCCGTTTAATATATTAATTATTTGAAGTAAAGAGGGTTGCCGTTTGAAGAATTTTCAAAAAATAACAAACAGCAAACAAACAAATGATCATACAAATATTGGATCATGTTAAATGGTGTAGACAGAAATCCAGAACAAACTTGGACATTGTCAAATAAATGTATGATGATGTTAAATATATGTATGATGATGTCAAATAAATGTATGATGTTTTGAATAAATGTATGATGATGTTTTGAACAAATGTATGATCGATGATCGTGTAGACGTGGCTTTTCATGGAAATAACCCACACGAACGAAGTTAACAACAATTTTCAATCTGTTTTTAGACTAAATAACTCGAATTTTTGATAAGGCTTTAATATTCATCAAATCTTTCAAATCAAATTTGAAGCCATTTATAAAACTTAAAATGTTATTTGTAATATAATAATTATATGATATTTGTTGAAATATCCTAACCTTTATTAAAATTCAACTTATTAAGTCGAAGAAGAGATTCAAAATGGTTATGAACTACGTTCGTGTGTGTCATTTTCATGTAAGAACCTTCCGGGGGAGGGGGGGGGGGGGTCTGTTCCACTATTAATGACAATAACTTTATCGATCACCAATAAAAACCTTCAATATATCCTATCTAAATATGACATTGCAGGACTAACGGAAACATGGGTATATAAAGAACAAAACGAGATAAATTCATTTTTGCCGTCGCATAAGACTTTTATTACATGTAGAACAAAACGCAAACATGGTGGAATTATCGTATTTGTTTCGAATCAAATAAAAAATGGTGTAAAACGAATATTTAAATAATCAAATGATATGGTTTTACTATTACTCGATAAAAACTTTTTTGGTGTAAATAAAAATGTTATCCTCGTATTTACATATGTTTCACCAGAAGGATCAAACTATTATTTGGGAAATCTTATATCTACCTTGGATATTTTAGAAAATATCCTTAGCGTGGCACAAGCAGACTATCCAGACGCAAACTTAATTCTAGCTGGAGATTTTAACGCCAGAACTGGTACCATACCGGATTATGCTGTGAGCGATTCGGTCAACCTTTTACCTCAGCTGGAAAATGTTTACAATGTCGACAAATTTGAACTACCCAGAAATAATCTAGACGCAATAGAAAACAATTTTGGAAGAAAACTTATCAACATGTGTAAATTATTTGGTGTACATATCTTAAATGGTAGGAAAAATGGCGATAAAAATGGAAACTTCACTTGTACAGCTAACGGTGGACGTAGAGTAGTGGACTATAGAGCGGTTTCTTCAGACCTGTTCCCACATATTACAGATTTTAAAGTGGGTCATATTGACGATTC